GGCGCCATCGCGCTCGCCCTCGGCGCAGTGTCCTTTTCCAGGCGGGACGGTGCTGTCCCGGCCTCTCTACTACACCGCGCCCTTCTATCCCGGCTACACGAACTATGGCTCCTTCGGACACCTTCATGGCCACCCAGGGCCCGGGCCAGGGCCCACAACCGGTCCGGGGTCTCATTTCAATGGATTAAACCAGACCGTGTTGAACCGAGCGGACGCTTTGGCTAAAGACCCGAAAATGTTGCGGAGCCAGTCTCAGCTAGACCTGTGCAAAGACTCTCCCTATGAATTGAAGAAAGGTATGTCCGACATTTAACGCGGGCTGCGTCGGTCCCGGACTTTTCTAATTTATTAAAAACATGGCCTTGGCAGTTATTTTTCCATCACTGAGAAAGAGAGAAAAAAAAATAAACTACCCCTCCTATTCAAAAGTTTATAGTTTATGGAGATGGATGGCATAAAAATGTAAACATCTCCACACACACACACAAAAGTCTTAACCAACCGAAAAGAAAAATTAAAAAAGGATTTGTATTAAATCTTATTCTGTATATTTAATGTAGCATTTTTGTATTTAAATTGATAATTCATTATCTTTGAAGTAAATTATGAAATCAAGACACCTGTACAGGCATTTAATGTTTTTTTGTAATATAAATATATACATTTGTGTTTCCCCAAAACTGTTTCATAGTTTAAAAATACAAGTTTAATTTAATTTTTTACACCTATTGATTCTGCTGGGTATGAGCTAAAGTATTATTACAGAAAGGAAACAGGTTATACTCTTAGATTTAAAAAGTGAAAGAAACTGCAGGCGCCTTTGTAAAATGCAAAATATTTAATTAAAAGAGATTTTAACATAATGAGAGCCACTCATTACTTTTTAGAAGCCTCAATAAACTGTCCATTGCCTTGGTCAAAAGGTGCAAACTGCAACTTTTTTCAAAGTGGGGATTGAAAGGTTCCACAGACCTTCAAGTGTGCCAGGGGAAAAACATAATTAGGTTGCAAGCCCGGGGGAACCTGGCCCTGCCCAGAAAGCAGATCTGGATCACTGTTGCGGGCTGTTTGGGAGAGACTGGACCCTGGAGGAAGGAGAAGAGAGACCCAAGTGTGTACCCAGAAGGGAGAAAAGATGGCAAAGCCAGTTAGGGACACGCACCACCCGAGCGCCATCGCTTAACCTAATTACTTCCAATCAGTGTCGTGTTTTATGCAAAGTAATCAGCTGCTGAACTTTGCTAATGAGTTCGATTTTATGCCGGATTTAGCCCTTATTACTATTTCAAGGGTGCTTCGGGCTAATGCGAGGGGGAGTATTCAGGGATGCCAAGAGGAAGGCTTTCCCAAGTCACCGTCTTCTTCTCTGCCCCTTCAAATTTGGGCATTGATCTTTTTGGATTTGATTAAATTATGAACGTTCCATCCCAGACGGTGCGGGTGGTGGGCGGCGCAGGAGTGTCCGCTCAGCTACGGGGCTGGGGTCGAGCGGGACGGGCGAGGGGACGGTTTCCCCCTTTCACAGGTAGGTGTCACACTTGTCCTGAATTTCAAGCCTGCACTTTGCAGAGTCGGAGATTGCAGAGTGGGCGGAGGGGGAGGAGGGAGCGCCACAGCCACTTGGGGGAAGCAAGGGGAGCCCCTGAAAGGATCCCTCCCCCTCACAACGGGCCTCTTTTCGGACAAGTGGCCTTCAGAAGTTCGAGGCCATTTGCCTAGATAACGAGGCCGTTGTGGACTCCATCAGGCTTGTCGTCGCTTTAGCACTTTTCCCAGCTTAGATGCAAGAATCCGAGCAGCTACAAAAATATTTTTGGGGTTTTATTTTCTCGTTTTAATCCCGCATACTTCATCTCAAAATGAAAAGTCAGGATGCATCTGAATCCCTAATGAGGAAGAATCAACGCCCTGCGCCGGAGGCCGGCCAACGATGTGGGTTCGGGCTTGGCTGCGGTGCTGACGGCTCCATTTTGCAGCCGAGATCTGGAGCCCGGACGCGTTTTACTTCGTGGGAAATTTTCAGTGGTTGGGGGAGGGAGTGGGGGTCCGTGTTATAGCAAAAACATACCCCAGCGAGGGAAATTAATTTGCTCTATTAAACCCAAGCCTGAGTGTAGAGAGGGAATGTGTTTGCACATAACACCGGCTTAATTAGGCTAAATCAAAATGCACATATTTGCATTTCTACTGAAGATGACTTTAACCTTAACTCAGTGTTTTAAACCCACCCCGAAGTTTCACTGGAGTTGCTTTTGCTATTTCTTTTTTTTTAACCTGCCACGGAGCTCCTTTAAGCTTATTCGAATTTAAACAAGTTTGAAAGCTGCATTGTCCAGATGTTTTAGCAAACAGCGGTGGACTTCAGGGTTTAAATTAGTGAGAAAATTCACGCAGGGAAAATGGTTTCAAAGCTGGAAGTGTGAATGATTAAATATGCATGAACGATCGTATTTTATTTTGTCCCTTTAATTATAAATGATTTTTTTAAACAATTGAATTCCAGAGATGACTTGCCCTCGCTCTTTCTCCCCCCACCCCGCGCCTCATCCCCCTCTTCTCTCCCCTCCCTCCCCCACAGCCTGGTTCACAATCAGCTTTCCCCCCTGTTGAATATGCAGCCCCAGGAGTCACCTTTTCTAAAAAAGTCAGAAGAATAGGCCAGTCCCCTTCTCTTAAGGGAGACTTTAAGGACATCAACTCGGCGGGGTTTTGGAAGCATTGGCCCTAAACCCTGCCCAACGATTTTAAAAAGAAAATTACAGGCCTCCCAGTGTTCCCGGGAATATGCAAATGGCAGGGCGCAGGCCTCCCAAATCAGACCGCGAAGGCTCGGGGCTGGGAGCCGAATGCCCGCCGAGCTGCCTGGGAACTGGAACCGCGCACCCGGGAGCGCCAGGCGTTTCTCTTCATCCAGGGGCTGCGCGGGGAGCCTCCCGGCTGAGGAGCTAAACCGCTGGGGGCTCGGCGGCTGCTGCCTGAGTCGGTGACCCCTGCCCGCATCCTCCCGCCCTGGGCCTCCGCAGGGTCTGCGGTTTTCTATGCGCACTTGGTCTTCAGTACTAGCACCCAATTACGTCTGGGTTTTTCTTCTTTACAGAGCTGGGTTTCCGTGGTCACCAGCTTTTCTGGTGTTTAGCGACTTTGAGTTTGGAGGTGGCCTACCAGGTAAATGGGGGGTTCAGGGCATTTAGGAAATGTCTTCCTCGCTTAACCCCAGAAGTGGTTGCGTGTCTGTAGGATTCCCAAGTTCCTCCCGGAGCCTCTCCTTTGCGTCTCGGGCCCTCCAGCAGGCGAAGCCTCTTAGACGCTCTGGGGAAAATTTCCAGCGTGTACGGGGTTCAGGGTTTGTTATCAGGCATGGAATGGGGCGCAGACGTTGCGCGAGGCAGAGCCTAAGGTCCCGAGGTGCTGAGACTGTGCTGGCGTTTGCCACCTGCGCCTGGCTAGACAGTTTCTGGGCCTCAAGAAACGCCTACCTTGGCATTTAGGGACCAGAAGCCGCTGGATGTCTAGCAACAGGGGTCACGGGATCACTGCATGGGGTCTCTGTAAGCAGTCCCCTGAGGCAGTGCAAAAACGGGAACCTGCTCTGTGCCGGGCCGAATCAGTTCATGGAATTTGGGAGTCAGGAGAGATTCCTTTCTTCTTCCCGCTCCTACACTCCGGGTACCAAGGCCCGAAATGCTGTTCCCCCAACCCGGGTGCTGGGTCTGCAGCAAGGCCTCCTGGTTTGCAAACCCCTCCAGGCCGCTTATTCCGGGTGCCATGCGCAGCCCTTGGGACCTAGAAGATTGAGGGGGAGGGAGGGTCGCGCGTAAGGTTTTGGAACCGGCCGTGCCTCCTAGTCCACCTGTCCCGCACAGTTAGCTGCCGACTCGGACCGAAGCGCGGAACAGCGCAATGCAAACCGCCCAAAGTGAAAGGAATGTAATTGCGCTCCCATGACTGAGCCAGACGCGAATGCAGTTTAGGAAGGGCGCCGCCTACCGGTCCCCGGGAACCATGCGATTCGCAGGGAGGGGGACGAGTGGAGACCCCAGCTATCCCCGCACCCACCGTGGGGCCTTAGCTTTGAACTCTGGCCCGGAGAAACTTAAACTGCTTCTCCACCCCAACGCGCCACAGCCCTGGACCTAAGACCCAGTTAGCATTCGGGATTTGGGGAGCAGGGCCCATGACTTGAACAGTGTTAACCCTACCGGTTCCCGCCACAGCTTCAGCACATTTCAAAAAAACAGGCGTAGGCAGTTGAGAAATATGCTACCGGCTGAAATAGCCTGCGGGTGGGGGCTGCAACCCTGAGCACCCGGCAGCTCCCGCCCTGTATCAGGTGTACTCTTTTCCACTCCTGCGGGCCCTTACACGTTCAAACTGTGGACCCCGCGCAGTTTTAATTTGCGGTTTGGAAAATGGGGGTGCTACCGTGCAACCGCGCCCCAAAGACCGTTTTGGTCTTTAGAGTTTTTGGCCTGTGGGTGAACATCTGTAGAAAAAGGAAAAACAAAACAAAAGTACCCTCCCATTGCGTCGAACCCTCCTATTTCGAAAAGAACTTTCATGAGGTCAGCGTGGCAAGGCCTGCGGTGCTCACCTCGGCTTCGCCCTATCCCTCCAGAAGCCCTCATAGGTTGTGTTCACTGTTCTCCCTCAGGTGCAGGGTTGTTGGGGAAAGCCGGGCGCGCCCTCAGGCTGGATCTTTGTTTCCCTCGTCGCCCGGCCATCGAACAGGAGGGAAATCGGGCCCGACTGGGACCTTGGCGCCCGCCTTCCCCTTAAACTGGCTAAAACTTCAGGACTGTCCCTAGACCCACCCCGCGGGTCTTCCTTTGTGTCCAGCGCAGAGCGGATCTCCTTTTCGTTTTCACGATTACTGCGACTTGGGCCCCGGGCACTAGTCGAGCCCAGGTTGTGGCCTAACAGCAGATCGCCTCGGGGGCTTAGCTGCAGCTCTGGTCGCACCTCCAGCGCCGGGCGGCCTCTCGGGGCCAGTGGGGGTCTCTGGCCTCTTGTCAGCCGCGGGTCCCAGCCCTGGGTCCCCAAGGCCGCTCGCCGGGCAGCGTTCGTTTCCGGCACCGGGACGAGCCCAGGGCGCCCAGACACCACTTTCCCAGTGAAATCTGCTTTTATTTGCTCCAAGCAAACCCCGGGCTCTCAGCGCTCCCGCCTGATGGATGCAAATGTAAATGTGCACTTATTTAATTGGATCAGGCCCCAAGATAAAAGAGATAAACGGCTCCCCGTTTGCTAACTTATTTTCCGAGGCATGCAGCGCCGCGTGGAGGGGAAGCTAATGAAGGAGCAGCGCAGCGCTTGGCACTCGAGCTCTCCGAAGCGGTAGCACGCCGGCCGACCGGCTCCGCGTGGGCTGCAACTCCTTGTCGACCTGCTTTGCACTGGCCCTGCCCGCTAGATAGGGTCCCCGCAGGACCTTCTGTGCGCCAGGCTGGGAAAGTGAGAAGGCGTGATGTTGGCATCGCGCTTGCAAATACCCGACCCTCGCCACAACTTTCTCTTTTCTCCACCTCGGTTTGTCCCCCTCTCCTTTCTTACCCAAGTCCCCATGCTTGGGTCGTACTGGCTGGGCCCATTCCATAGAAAATCCTTCCTATCTTCTTTCCCAGGCATCTTCATCATTCCCCAGGCGTCGTCTTCCACCCCAATTGGAGGTTTCAGAAAAAGACGCGAGGGCCATGAAAAAGACCAGGTGCGACCCTCCAGCCTCCAGGGTCCTGCGGAGCCGCCCTCGAGAAGGAAGGACCCCCTTCTCTGTTCCCACAAGGCCCTTTTTTGGAGCATGAGATTTCTTTCAGAATCAGCTGGAAGACATGGATTAACCCCTTTTCTCCCAAATAATGTAGGAACACAATACACAGAGCCCTTAAGTCTTTGCAAGGGGTCGCGGAACCCCGAAAACCAGACATTAGGAGAAAGGGGTGCCTGGCTCTTGCCTCCCTGGGGCGGGAGTTCGAACCTCAAGGACAGCGCATCCTCCTTCCCAACAAGTTTGTTTTCCATTTTGGAGTGTTAGTTTTTCGTTCCTGCAGTTTCTCTCATGTTCAGAAGGGCTGCGAGGAGGTCGGGATGGGCTTGGGAGAGAGACCTGATGAGACAACCTGCCGAGAATGGGTGCACAGCAGTCGGTGGTGAGGGGCGCCCTAGGCTGAGACACTGTGGGCGGGAGGGCTGGACTGGCGGTTGCGAAGGACTGGGTGGGAGGGAGGCCCGGTCGGGCAGGGCGTCCCGGCCACGCCCCGTCCCCAACGCGCTGATGGATCGGCTTGTCAGGAGAGCTCTGTAAGCGGAGCCCATCAGAAAGCACTTACCTCGCTAAACTGAAATTACTGTCTTTTCAGGGGCTAATTTGTGTAACTCCCATGGAGGGGCTTGGAGGGGTTTGATGAGGCATAAAATGATGATTAATGAATTTATTGGCCGCTGCTCATCAAACAAGGACTGGAGAGTTCGCGTCTGCACTGGCGGCCTGGCGGCGGCGCTCAACACAACTGGGGTTCAGCCTCCAGGGGCTCAGCGCCTGCTCAGGTTTCCCCAAGTGCCCGGTCCTGAGTGCTTTCCTTAGCTACTTCCTGCTGGCGGTCTCCCCTACGACCCCAACCTAATTCGGGGCACAGGCTCTAGCTGCCGCCATCGCCCCTTGCGAACCAGCTGCCCAGGCCTGGGGGGAGGTCCGCTGCAGACCCATGGGGGCAATGGCTTCTCCAGGACTGAGTGTGACTGTGGCACCCGAGGCAGCCTGGAGCTGGGGGACTGGAGTTGTCTTCCAAAAATGTTATAGTTTACTGGGTTGGTACTTGGGCTTTGGTGGCTCAGCCCTGCCTCTGCAACTTACTAGCTATGTGTCCTTGGACAGATCCAATACCCAATCTGAGCCTCGGTGTCCTCATCTGTGAAATGGGGCTTTACCACTCCTGGCTTTGTGAGGATTCAAGTGCATGGCGCATGGCTACCCTTCAATACAGTTAATAAATCATGCTATTTTAAGACTTCAGTTCACTGAAGATGCTAGCTAAGGCCTGGGAACAAACAGAGGGTGGGAGACAGAGGCTTGGGTTGTGACTTGAGGGAGAGAGAATCCTGCCTGAATGGCTGATCTTTCTCAGCACTTGCCTCAACCTCCCCACCTTTCCTGGCTCTGGCTTGATAGCCGGACAGTGAGGGAGACCGAAAGGCAGTTCAACCAGGGAGTGACCTGCTCAGAGTTGAGCTTTCTGGAGCTGACTGGAGCTGCCACGTGGCTTGTTTACATGGCAGAATCTACTTTCAGGTTAGTCTGCTGGACGGTTCAGAACTTCTTCTTCTCATAACCCACCCTTTGTCTGTAGGCTCCTGTCTTTTGGAATCTGTCCACAAGGACCTTTTGGCTATTTCTACTGGTTTTAATCAAGAACCTGCAGCCCATGAACTTATCATTTCAACCTGGATTATTTTCTCTGATTGAATCACCTCCCCTGCCTATCTCATACCACCTCACTCTGTCCGTCCCAGATCTCCGAACAGTGGACTTCTCCCTTGCCTTCCCAGGACATCTGGTGTTCCTGCAACAGAAGACAGGAAAGACCTTGACATTGACCTCTCTAGTGGAATGCCTATCCTAGTCTCTGTGTTAATACAGCCCCACTTAAACTGTTCCCTTCCCTTCTTCTAACCACTGTCAATGAAGCACCTGCGATACACCAGATGTACTGTTCTAGTCATTGATGATGCAGCAATGAACAAAGTCCCTGCCTTCCTACACTTGAGAGAATATGACAGAAAATAAACAAATGAGTGAGGTAATGACTTATCACCATGTCCAGGTGATGAGAGTTATGAGAAAAATTTAGTAGGGTAAGGGGTTAGTGACGGCAGTCTGGGAACCCTCCCTTAGGAAGCTTTCTTAGGTGTTTGCACAAAGTCCTGGAACAAGTTAGGGAACAGGCCATGCAGATACTCGCAGGACGAGAGTGCCAGGCAGAAGGAAGGGCAAATGCAAGGATCCTACAGTGGGAGCAGGTTTGAGCAGCAAGGAGATCTTTGTGGAAGGGGAAGAAGCCTAGGTAAAGCTAGGGTCAGGTTATATGGGACCTTGTAGGTCCTGGTGGGATATTTGGGATTTATGAGAGAGGGAGAAAAGGAAGAGGTGTGGGAGGATTTTGAGGGGAGTAACAAAATCTAACTTCTGGGTTTTTTTTTTTTGGTGGGTTTTTTGTTTGTTTGGTTGGTTTTTTTTTTTTTTTGACAGTCTCACTCTCGCCCAGGCTGGAGCACAGGGCGCGATCTCAGTCACTGCAACCCCTGCCTCCCAGGTTCCAGTGATTCTCCTGCTTCAGCCTCCTGAGAAGCTGAGACTACAGCCACATGCCACCATGCCCGGCTAATTTTTTGTAATTTTAGTAGAGACGGCGTTTCACCATGTTACCCAGGATAGTCTCCTGACCTCGTGATCCACCCGCCTCAGCCTCCCAAAGTGCTGGGATTACAGGTCTGAGCCACCACGCCCCGCCCAACAAGATCTAATTTATGTTTTAAATGCATCCCCAGGGTGTGAGGAGCTGAAAGTCTGATAGGGCAAGAGTGCAAGTAGGAAACAGTTAGGAGGCCAATGGAGAATTCAGGGGGCGGGAATGTTGCTTTGCACCAACCTCTACTTGGTGGTACCCAGAGAGGCAGGGAGAAGTGCTCAAGTTTGGGCTATATTTTGAAGGCAGAGTCAGCAGGCTTTACTGATGATGGATTGTATATGGGCGAAGAGAGAAGAGCGGGGAATGCTGGATGCCCCTAAGGATTTGGGCCTGAGTCCCCAGGATAATAGGGGGTGTCATTTGCTGAGATGCCTAACATTAAGGGAGGTGCAGGGATTTTTTTTTTTCCTCCAGAAAAAGGGTAAGTAAAATACTCTTTGCCCTGACCCTCAAGCCATTGGGCCAAAAGGAGCTGCTTTTGTGGACATGTGAGGCATCTAATGACAAAGCAGTCAAATGCCCAAGGCAGACGCACAAGTCCAGGGAAAATTCAACAGATCCTCTCTCCTGAAACCATAGACCTTACAGTTCTTTGACCACATCTCCCATTTCTTTTCTTTTTTTTTCCTTTAAAAAATAACCTCTCTATCCATTCTCTCTCTCTCTCTCTCTCTCTCTCTCTCTCTCTCTCTGTCTCTGTCTCTCTCTTTCTAGTAAAGATGGGGTTTCACTATGTTGCCCAGGCTGGTCTTGAACTCCTGGACTCAAGCAATCCTCCTGCCTCAGCCTCTCAAAGTGCTAGAATTACAGGTGTGAGACACCGGACCCTGGCTTCCCTTTTTATTTCTTTTTTCCTTACCAGGGTAGAAACTGAGACTGACGAAATGAAAATGACTTCTCCAAGCTCATGCCATGGGTTTAGAGACAGGGATGGATCCAAAACCCAAGTCTCCTAACCCCTAGGCCTGCGTTCTTCCCTGCCTCATCCAAGCTAAGTTTTCTGGGATATCTGTATTTTAACGGAGAACTCCTGGAAACAAAATGCTTTAACAGAGAGGAATGAATTTATAATGGCAGAATCTCAGACACCGTGACAGGCTGTCAAGGGAGATCTATTTAGGCTGGGCCGGGAAACATCTTAGCCCTCCTCAGACACTGCTGGAGGATGAGTGCCTCCTCAGGACTCCGTGTGTGAAGTACAGATGAAGAAAAAGCTCGGAATGTGCTGTCTCTCCCAGAGACTCAACAACAAGGAGAAACTGGGGCCTTTTCGCCTACCAGGGAATGTTTTCTTTCCTAAACAATTGCTGTTTGAAAGGATTTACTCATTTCTTCTATTTGAAGTGACATCTGCCCACCCACAATTATCCCATGTGATGCCAGCAAAAATTAATGTTCCTTTGCCCATCATTTCACAGCAACCCCTATCAAAGACAGATTGGAGTTGGGGGCAAGGCCCCTCATCATGGGTCCTTCATGCATTTATTTTGATTTTTTTTCTGACATTTCAGCTTCACTGTGTTTTTTTTTTTTTTTTCCCAGTCTTTTACTTGACTTGGGGATTTTGTTTTGTGTTATTTTTTTCTGTAAATGATTGATAGCTTTGTCCCCAAGGGAATCCACAGGCCCTTAGGAACAGCATCTCAACATCTTTCAAGCAGAGAGAGACATCTGTTATCCCTAGATTCCAAATCCCCTCACCATTCCAGAATGTTCCAGACACCTTCCTGGCTAACATGGTTTGACATCAGACATCACATAGTTGTTTCTGAGACTGTTTTTTCAGATCCAAACCACAAGATTTTTTGTTTGTTTGTTTGTTTTGTTTGCCCTCTATTTGTATCCAGTATCTAAGTCCAAACCCTGTGTAATAGGTGTCTTTTTTTCCAAATACTCATCTGTGCAAAGATATTCATTGGTCGCTGAGGGCCAATTTTCCTGGATCACATAAAAGAGAAGATTAGTGGCAACGTGGAGAAAAGGGCTCATTTGGAATAAATACCACCTCTTTGCTTTCATGAAGAGTGTGGCAGAAAAGTCATTGGCCTGGTTTATTTTGGTTGGTGGAGTTATTTTTCTTTCTGGGTTTTTTTTTCTTTTTAATTTTCCCTTTCAATCTGGCTAAGGCCTGACAAGTTCTAGAGCATGTAGGAGGAACATCTGGGGCTCCACAGGGCTGGAGACTAAAAGGAACCAGAGCCCTGTACTCCACGCTCTTCAAACTCACTCATTCCAGGGCTGGAATGAGTGCAATTTCTATTGTGATTACTATTTAGAAAATAATTTCCTTCCAAGTTTTTCATGATTTACTTATTTAGGAACATTTATAATGCTACTGAAACTGAAACAGAAGACACTTATAAAAGAAATTAATTCAATGAAATTCTTGACCCCATGGGTTTGAAAGTGACTGAGATTTCTCAGGGTCTCTGATTGCTTCTAGAGGCTTCCCCTGACCCTGTTCTTTCTTCTTTGCAGGCTGCCCTCAAAGTTATATGGGCTGCATGAGTATCTCTTCATCTTCACCTAAAATCATGTCATGTCTTTCCAGAGATG